GTGGGTGTGGGTGTGGGTGTGGGTGTGGGTGTGGGTGTGGGGTGTGAGTGTGGGTGTGGGTATGGGTGTGAGATGCTTCTGTCGTCTTCATCCGCACACCCACACCCACACCCACACCCACACCCTAAAAGATTTAATATTTTTTTTATTCACTGAAAATATGTATATATTTCTTGTTTATTAATAATGTTTTAAAAATTTGAAAGCATGACGCTATAAATAAAAAAACAGATAGTTACAATAAAATGCTTCTTTATTATGTAAATTTTTTACAATACATATTTATTCAACAAAATAACAAATTAAAACAATGTTCTTCCGCATTATTTTATGAAAAATAAAAGTGAATCATTACATCTTGACAATATCGCTTACACCTGCACCCTTATAATGATGACACTTGGTGTATATCATTAATTGTATTCACAAAACTCAATAGACAGTATTATCTTGATTCAAGACCAGAAAGATGATCTTAAGGTATTGTCCGATGCGGAGACAAAAACTATAATAGCATCCAATAATAACCTTTAGTTTGGCGAGTGATTTATTTTTTTATTGAAAATGTATTTAATCAAGATAGAATTATAATTATAAAGAAAATCAATTTTATTTGATATTCAAACAGAAAAGAGTTGGAAATTAAGTAACTTCAATCAGGAAAAATTATATTTATTATTATTAAAATGAATTAGATATATCGAGTACATAAATATAGATTTTTTCTTTATTGAACTGGTCTTAATTTAAAATTTCGATATGGTCATGGCTAGCAGCAGATTCACACGAGCATCCTGTTGTAGAGGATCAATCTTGACAAGGGGTGGGTGGGTGTGGATCTGGGCGTGGTGTTAACATTTCGTATGTCTGCACTCATAACCATACCCACGCACACTTACCCACACCCACCCACACCCACACCCCACACCCACTCCTACACGCACCCACACCCCACACTCACATCCACACTCCCACCCACCCACACCCACACCCGCACCCACTCACACCTACCCCCACACCTACACCCACCCACATTCGCCCACACCCCACACTCCACACCCACAGTCACACCCACATTCACACCCACATCCATACCTACATCCACACCCACGCCCCACACCCACGCCCCACACCCACACCCTCAATTTTTCGAGCTCTTTCCAACGATGTAATTTTTATTGTGTCCGCATGAAATAAAATTTTTTGAAGGGGTTGACTTGGATTGATTCTGATAGATAATATGACTGTTTCACAAAGATTATCCATATAATTCTGCACTGTTCAAAGCGCCACCATAATCATAGCCACCAGCAACTAAGACTTTTTCATCTGTTAGTATGGATGCTGTGTGATACATTCGTCCAAAGTTTAAGATGCTAGCATTTGTCCAAACACCGGTTGACGGATCGTACAATTCTGTACTATTCAAATAATCGCTATGACGAAAGCTACTAGAAACAACGCCACCAACAACCAGTACTTTTCCATCGTCTAATAGGGTTGCTGTGTGAAGGTATCGTCCAAAACTCGTGTTGCCAGTACTTGTCCAAACACCTGTTGATGGATCGTACAGTTCTGCACTATTCAAATAACCACCGATACCTAAGCCACCAACAACCAAAACGTATCCATTGGTTAGTAGGGTTGCTGTGTGATAGCTTCGTATAGCCGCCATGTTCCCCGTATATGTCCAAACACCTGTTGATGGATCGTATAGTTCTGCACTATTCAAACCACCACTATAACCATAACTACTATAAACAGTGCCACCAGCAACCAAGACTTGTCCATTGGCTAGTAGGGTTGCTGTGTGATAGTCTCGTGCAACCTTCATACTACCAGTCAGTGTCCACACACCTGCTGATGGGTCATATAATTCTGCACTGTTCCAAAAGCCACCAAAACCATAACCACCAGTAATTAAGACTGTGCCATTGATCAGTAGGGTTGCTGTGTGATAGATTCGTGCCACAGCCATGTTGCCCGTATTTGCCCAAACACCTGTTAATGGATCATATAATTCTGCACTGTTTAAAAAGCTAGTAGGGCCGTAGCCACTATAAAAAAAACCACCAGCAATCAAGACCTGTCCATTGGTTAGTAAGGATGCTGTGTGCTGAGAACGCAGATAGCTCATATAGCCAGTATATGTCCAAAGTCCTGTTGATGGATCGTACAATTCTGCACTATTCAGATAGCCACCAGCAGTATTACAACCACCAGCAACTAGGACTCTTCCATTGCTTAGTACTGATGCGGTGTGAACATAACGCGCATCATTCATATTGCTGCTGTTTGACCATACTAGAAACAATTATTTCAATGTACACTGTAAAAAAAAGGTACTCTACCGAACCCTCCAAAAAGGTTTCGTAGGTGTCTAAAAGCTTCCAAATGCATCCAAAGGCTTAAAAAAATGGTTGTTGAAATCTACGAAACCTTAAAAGGATCGG